ATCAAAATTGATTTTTTTAGAGTAAAAATATAATTTTTTGTTAAAATAAATAGTACCAGAAACTTTTCATTAACATTCTATTAATATATTAAACTATAAACTTCCCATTATGCTCTCAAATTTAAATTTAAAATATATATATACATATAAGCTGAAATACATAATTTAATTTTCTTATTCAAACAAAATGTTAGTGACTAGTTCCCTTTCACAAGCACTTGGATTGTCTGCCCTCTAATTTTGGTGTCCTCCCCGTGCCCTCCTGTTTTTGTGGTCATGGTTAAGCCACGTCAACATTTTATATTACTATTTCTTTTTGTTTTATTATTTTTATAAAAAAATAATATAAAATATTGACGTGGTTTAACCGTGACCACACAAAACAGGAGGGCACGGGGAGGGCACCGAAATGGGAGGGCACCGAAATGGGAGAGCAGACAATCCAAGTCCCCTTCAGAAACACCATGAACTACCAAAGTACACACAAACGATAATAAGTTGTATTTTTTCTTCTAAATTTATTATTATTAAGGACGGAGGAAAAGTTCGAAACTATTAAAAAAATGAAGGTTCCGAACCAGAGACGCATGGGTAGAACTAGAAATCAACACTTTATTCATTAAAATATTGGACCATCCTGTAGTCAGTAAAAATTGCAATCTAAACTAATCTATACCCAATTCTCAGAATCTCGAACACATTCACGGGCCCAAAAAGCCCAAGATAATATCAACATCAAAGACATCCAACATGCATGACACTCATGAAGCAAAAAAGCACCGTCTGAATTAAATGGTTCAAGAAATTGATAGAAAACTTTATACGAAATATGGCAGCTCCAGAAACTAAACCATAAGTCCATAACATATAATACCTAAACCTAATAGCAAAAAGCAATTTTATTTGGAGTCTGGACCATTAAACTAAACTAGCACTGAGCTAAATCTAAATCTGTTCACTTGGGTGGGGGGAAGAAGATTGCATCACAAGTCCTCTTCGAACGGAAGAGTTTCTCTGTTTCCGAATCCACATTGAACGCAGCCTGGAGCACCTGCGGAGATAGAGCCTTCCAGCACCCAATGCTTCCAGCCAAGTGGGTGAATATCGGGCTGCACGCAAGAAATTAAACGAATCACCTAGATGTTAGGACACCAATCGATAAACTTTTTCTGCGAAACATTGCCAACTCTTTCGAATTAACTAAGTTTGTGTGTGGTGGAATTAATCTATATGTACGTGTATTCCAAGCAGCAGGATGTTATAAATGCAGAGAAATATATAGTTCAACTAGCTGAGCCCAAATCAAGAACAATGAAAGCGTAATTAGGCAAGACGAAAAAGCCTACTTGGGCGTAGTGATGATAGAAAACCATTCCAAGCCCTCCGGATCAGCAATCTTTGACACAACAAAGAACCGAGGAACAATGAAGAGATTACCGGCTTTGATGGTAGTTTCCAACACCCTCTTACCGTCGACACCAACAACCTGGACACGGCCGCTGCCCCTAATAATATAAGTCACCTGCAGAGCCGAGTCACAAGAAAATCCAGGGGAGCACATGGCACTCCCGTCCAATCTCACAAGGTCAGCACCGAGCCCAACCTCACCGACCAAAGGAAGGTTTTTGGTATTCAAGACCACAACTCTTCCACCATCCTTAATGTCAACATCCAATGGAGCCTCTTCGCAGTTCAACGTCATGCCATCCCGGTGTTCCTTCTTTGGCTCGGGCAAGTTAGCTCCGGTAAGCTTGACAATGCCCCTGCCGGACTGCTTGCCAACGAGAGTCTTCACAACACTCTCCTCCAAATCCCATGCCCGACCAACAAACTCGGTTGAGAAGCCGGTGAAAATGGCGTTGGAGCCGTTGAGATAGAAGTCGGTAAACTCCCCCCTCTTGTGAGCTTTTGAAGTGTCGCCCAAGAAAAGAACAACGAACTCGGTGTCCTCCTTGTTGTACCACCAAGTCACAACTCCGAAAGGGAGGGCAATCGCATCACCCTTCTTAACTGGAAGAACCTTCTCTTCCTTCTCCGGGAGGACAATTCCGACTACACCAGAACCTGAAAAGACAAAACAAAAATGAGTTTAACCCATATGATCTTATTTCATCATAAATTATCGACTGTTTATATATAAAATTCATGATCCAGAAGCAGACAAGCAATCAAATAAACAAATAAGAACAACCCGACCGTTGAAAAATGCCGAAAATCCATAAAATTAAACAGAAAATTCAAAATGTATACCTTGGAGGACATAGGCGACCTGGTTGGAGTCAGAGTACTTGGGGAGAGCGAACCCGTCCTTGTCCAGAGCGAGCTTGGCGGCTCCGATGTTACCTTCACGGAGCATGGGAAGCTCCGACGGGGACCAGGCAAAGTAGGACCCGCCATCGCCGCCGTACACCTTCTTGGCCAACTTGGGTGAAAGATCAAGCTCCATTCTTTGCGATTTTTTCACGAACCCAGAAAAACCCAAAACCCAAAATCGAGAGCGAAGTGATTGATTGATTGATCGGATGCGATCGAGCGGTGAGGAAGGCGTATGCTGGGGAGTGTATATATAGGGGAGTTGAACGGGTTTGGAGGTACGACATCCTGTTGGAGAGAGATTAGAGAGGAAGGAGGAAGGAGGTAGAATCTGATGAGGAGAGGGATTGTGAATTCGGATTGGATTAAGGATAATTGGATAGTCTGATTCTATCTAATCTTGAAAACATTAATCAGGATTAAAAGAAGATTAGTGGGATAAAACTCTATCTATCTTGCTTTCTTACGATCACTTTGTAACGCATACTGATATTCAGACACCTTCACATCCTTATTAATTATTAATTACTGATTTTTTTCAATTAATTCAATTTAATTATCAAAAATTAAAAAGTTGTGTGAAAAGTAAAATTAAATACTTGTATAACTCTGCCATTTGTAATTTGTATAGAAATAGAATTTGCTTGGGAGGTAAAAAGATGAAGTTGTCTTTGACGTGTTTATATATAATTGCTATCCCAATTAGTATAAATAATATTTTTTTTTACATTTTAAAAAGAATCTAGAATAAATAGATTAACGAAGCAGTTGATTAAGTGTGTAATTCAATTATCAATAATTGTCATTAAAAGTAATAGTTTATTGTTGTCATACGTTAAAATAGTGTGAATATCACATCTCGTAAATAAAATATTAAGCACATGCACAATCGTGCTTGTATCATACATTTGGGTCGCGACCTAAATTACACTTTCATCCTAATGAATATTTAATTCAGCTCAATAGTAAGTTCGTACCTTATTTAATAATTTGTCTAGCTTTTCATAAAAAGAAATAAAATTATTTTATTTGTAAGATGTTTGTAAAGAGTTTAAAAGGAGATATATATTTAGGAAAGCATAAAAGACTTTTTAAAAAGCAAATAAAAAGATCCAAAATTTAGAATAACTTCACCAAAATTATATAAAGTTGGGAATATATTCACTAATTAGGATGCGACCTGATTTAACAGGGTAATGTAGACACACTAAGAATTGTCATCCAAGTATTGCATGGATTGTAAAGAAATACAATGTTAATCTCTTTTCTTTTCTTTTTTTTCACTTTAGTGGGATACTATTTTTTTAATTAACTGAATATCTTTTTTTTTCACTTATAAACATGCGTGTCAATTCCACTTGAACTTTCAATTTTTTATTTTTAACACCTGGACTCTCTTAATTGTTGGAATCCACAACCTACTTTACTTTTCATCTATTTTGCCGTTAAAACATGTCAAGCGCCTCTAATGTGGATGGATAGTTTTGTCAATTCACTTTCTAGGGCTTGCCGAAATCAATTTGTATGGAGGCTAAAGTCTTTTTTTTCTTTTTTTGTAGCAGTGTTGAAGAGAAATGGAGAAGTTGATATCGGTTTGATTTTGGTAAGGGTTGTTGAAGAATTGAATTGAAACTTACACAAAAATCAAGTCGAGTTTTCAATTTTTTTTGTAGGTCAGTAGGTGGGTGTGTGGTTCATCTTTATTTATTCAAATATTAATTTTTCAAACTCTTATGGAGGGAATTGCCAAACTGTTTTCGGCTTCATATTGACTCAGGCAATATTATTTTGGAGTTAATTTCATTCTAGCTAGCCTCATGAAGTTAATTGACAAAAATATCCCTACGGGTGACATGTTTAACAACAAAATAATGGTAAGTAACATAGATGGTAAATTCTAATAGTCAAGAGAGCCTAGGTGGTAAAAAAATAAAAAAATAAAAATTCATGTGGTATGTTTACAAGTTCATATGGTACTTGCGCAACTCTAATTTGATCAATTATAGACCTTTCATTTACATGGGATCACATTCAATATGTAAAAATAACAAAAGTTTATTTCGATAGCGTAACAAAACAAGAGCTCGTAAAAATAATATTTGAAATTATAGGTTCAAAGTCATGGAAGTATCTTTATATTCAAAGTCATCTGATTCTGAAGTATTAAAAAAAAAAATCAGGAAACTCACAGTCAGGTTGTAATCTATAACTACAGTCTACAAACAAAGCAACGTAATTACAATTCTGTTTTTTTTTTCTTAATACAAAAAAAAAATAAACAAAAAACAAAAAAAAAAATCAAAAACTTTAAAAAGCCATGTGGCTGCTGGGATTCGAGCCCAGGTCTCCACGGCCACAACGTGGAATTCTTACCACTAAACTACAGCCACTTAGTTGTCCAAAGTTGTGAACTTTTAGTATAAGTATAAACAATTCGGTCGATCAGCACGCAGTGTGGTATAGGAACTACATTAGCCGAAGATTAGATTAATCTGTTCTCAATGTGTTGTGGAACATAACATTATCGCTAGACTCGACATTATGATTACAATCTACTTCGGTTTTCTATTTCTTCTCCTAATAATTAGTAAATTCGCATATAATACGCATACTGTAAACATATGCACGTATGTTTCACGTACTATACCCGTTCCATATTTTACTAACCATGCAATATACAACACTGATGAAATCCAAATTCTCAAATCTTTCTAAGCTTCCCTTGGGAGAACAAAGATACGTTAATCACATGAAGAAACCGAAACAACCACCAATTAATCATACAATTTAAAAACCATCATCATCCCTAATCGAAACAGTAAACCAATTATTCTTACAATCCTAATTAAGCTTGGGTCACACAGGAAGAGAAAGAAAATACTCCAGAGCATCCAAGACTTTCTTCTCCTTTTTTGTTCTTCCAGTTCTCCTCTCGAACGAAATGTTGCTTGCGCAGTTGCATTATACATTTTCGAGCCATGTATTCAAAACATGTATAAGAATAAAACGAAACATTCTTGTTTCTTTAGTTAGTCTATGATTAATCCTCTCTACGGAGACGTAGGCCTCCAAGAATCTTCAGTCTCCAATGAGACTTCTTGCGTGCGGTATGCATGCTGTGTGGTCTAGACTCTAGAGTATATTTAGATCAATTTCACTGCATCGAAGGCCTGTTCGCAGGTTGCAGCTTGACAATTGTAAAACCAAAGCCGCCCATTGGTCAAAGTTAGAGGCAGGTACCTGGTCCGACATACTGTGGCAACCGTTAACCCAAACACTATCAAGGGATCGCCTTCACTGGACTCGAAGCTCCATTCTGAATTTGCTGGGAAGGTGAAGGATTCGTTCTCAAGAAGCTTTTCGCATATAGGGAACCAAAGACAATAGCCTGGTCATTGTAACAAAAGTGGCGTTATTGGGCTTGGGGAAACAGAAAACAAAGAAAAAAATTACTAGGTTGAGGTTGAGGCTTACGGCTCCCATCCACTGTTCCCAGCTAAGGGGGTGCGAAAACCACAAGCATGATAACATAATGCTGGCCAGCTTCAATACCAAAGAGAAAGAGATGCCAATAATTAGAAGCACTAATAACTGAGAAGTGGGAATGCTTACAAGGATTATTTTGGAGAGTTCGGATTACCTGTCTTGTGGTCATTATTGTGGCAAATGTGAGAGCACCAAAAGTGCGAATTGTGTAAGAAATAAAAAACTGGCTCGCTGTCGCTACCTGCAACACAAACCACTTGTAAATCATGAAGGAAAAGAACCGGGAAACAAAACACGGGAAAAGACGAAATAAGAAAAAGAAAAACTTGGCACAATGGGAAAGAAAAACTTAAACAATGGACACAAGCATTAGAAAAATTAGAAGCATCTGCTAAAATAAATACAAAGTAATTAAACAGATAACATTAACAGATCCCATAATCGGAAGGAAATATCTCTCACAGTGGAAAGCAATGCAATGTCGAAGAAACAACCATTGTGACTAGCAACAAAATGAATTGCTGGCAGAAGTTGCCCTTGTAGTAGAAGACCTGAAAGTTTGGCAGAATAAATAACTCATCCCTAAAAGGCAAGATAATGCTAATTGTGGGTAGAAACAACCATTGTAAGTACAGCATTGTAGTAACACTCACAACCTTCAAGCAGGCACACAAACACATGCTTGGATAGCTTTGAAGTTAGATTAGAGGCAAGATAATGATACGAAATCCACAACATAAATTGTGACAACATATAAACACCAAATCCTGTTAAGGAGTATGAAGCATACCCAACCACACTACGAAATATCCCTCTGTGTGATTAACATAACTACTTATGGAGCAACAAGACTAGAAAAAGAATCTTACCTGTCATGCTGAGAACACAAGAACAGAACGTGGTGTAAAATATTTGATTGTGTATCTCCATATCATATCCCTTAAATAGCTTATCTTGGAACGTGCTTGTAAAGCCATCAAACCTATTAGACAGAGAAACGAGCTTCTAAATGTATAAAATTTTGGTTCCAAGTATCTCATTGCTTTTTTTATTGGTCAAGTTCTCAGTAAAAAGGAAAATAGACAAATGCAAAATCACCCACACTCGGTGCACTCATAATCAATTACAAGGGAGAAAACTTTAAACTACTTGTTTTTGTAAGAAAACTTTAAACTACTTGTTTTTGTATGTTTTGTTTCCGTAATGTAGCATTTATATCATTGTAAGCAATTAGCTTAACAGAGCTGCGTTGGTATCATAAATTATTGTTATCCTAGCAACTAAGCATCAAGACTTGGAGATGAAGTTAGATGGCACACTTTATCATAGTAACAATTTTGGGTGTATTAATATCTTTGAATTGGTAGAAGTGTATTTAGCATGTTCATCTTAGCAGCTAGCAACAAGTTTTTTTTTTTTTCTTTTTGGTAAAGAGCAACAAGTTATTTGTAGATAAATCATAACCAGTCAATATAATAAACAGAGGGTTCAATATAATACCCAAGATAACCAATCATAAGAGAAATGCCCCAGATGGTATTTTCTCTTCCTCTACCGTATATATCAGATGGACCAATGTCCGCAGATCCTGCCTACATTCAAAACGCAAACAATTAGTTCTATTTTGAATCAAAGAACCACATTTTGCTCATCAGAATCTGTCAAGATTTCAGAGTCGGATTCGTGAACATAAGGAATTTCCTCTAATAAATTATACCATTTCGAAACAAGCAAAGGAGTATTCATATATGACGTTCCTAAAAAATAGAACCTTATAGATATTAGGCCCACCGTATTTATTGTCAAATGCCCTCACAGAGTGAGTGCGTACATAAGATACTCAAGTGTGGTAAGTCAAAGGTGCATGGCAGTGTCACCACACTAAGATATGAATGAAGCTAGCATGCAAGCTGCAATCACCCCATTGATTGTAATAAACAACCATAACTGGAACGAACTTTGGCTTGGAAACTGAGAGATGGTAATTCTGGTAGCTCTATGGCCAAATATGAAACTAAATGGGAAATGCTTGAATTAATAGTTATTCCATTTAGACAATAATATCACTGAGCACCATAAAGAAGCCATTGTTCAAAACACTTGGAAGGCAAAAGTGTACTTATATGTATTCTCATTTTGCAGGAGATTCTAAGAGTAGCATGCTGACATTTGTTAAAAGTTCCCAATGTACCATCATCCAAGAAGGCGTTTCTAGCTCTAGTTTTGGATGAGCTTCTCTCAATTATGTCTGGTAATAGAATAGGGTGGCTTGCTCTGACCAAGACTCCACTTTTTGCTCCATCCTTGGAGCATATGAATTTCCTGGAATGTATATAGACCAAAAGAGGGAATGCAGGGATAGAAATAGGAATTATAGTACCATTGGAAGGAGGGCACGCCAGACAGGGAAAGCTAAATCAGAGACTACGGTCACTTATGAGTATTACAAAGTGGTAGCATGCTAACAATTAATACCACTTTTCAAATACAATCACACCTCAGTGGAAAATTTTAAGGAATTCAACAGGGAATCAGAGCCAAGGACCATACCGGATATAGAATGAATATTGAACAGCCCACTGTCACTAGAAATGCCAGAAAATAGTGCGGTACCCTATATTTCTTTTGCATAATGATAGTGCCCCAAACCTGCATACAAAATAACCGTGTGAACTGGCAAACCAACCTCATGAAAAAGATACTGAAGTAACTAACAATATTCTCAATTAGCCTCTTCACTTATAGGTCTCACCTCAAGCCCAACTTTCACAAGCTCAAACATTTGGAACTCACTAATCAATCAAGCATGTACATCAACTCTTGCCCTTGCATTGACATCAAAGGTTTAGTGCCTATTTTGTTCGCCCTAAACTGCTAACTGTATAGTTCAATATGGACCTTCCCATCTAATGGGTTTAATTTTTTGCATCAGCTGTTCATTTTGTATTATTTTTAACATGAAATACCACATTTGCAGATACACTAATATTACGCATTATCCCCTACCAAAAAAATATTAGCCATATATGGGGTCAACCTTTTTCTTTTGGGGCATATTCAAATCAACACCATGGTTGATGACTTCTTACAGGCACCTAGAATGCTAGAGACATACAGTTAACATATGAACCAATCTTCCACAGCTCCACCTGCCACATCCTTCCTCATAAAACTAAAAGCTTGGATCTTAAATACTCCAAAATTACAGATGGTTATAATTCAAAAGAGATGGCTATTGAGAAAAACTCATTACTCGTGCAAGTGTAGCCATTTTTCTTATAGTTTGAAACTCCGAATTCGAACAAAATGTTACTCCTCTTGACAATTAAACATAAAAAAGATTAACCAACAGATAAAACTACTCACAAATAGTACAATGAAGCACCATAACTGATCGAACTGTATTTTCTTACCATCACTGGTATCATCTTGGCGCATTTCGCAAGCGTTTGAACCGGAAAGCTGACGTATTTGAGAGCCTGCGGTCACCAAAATGTACGAAATCAATGGGAAAAAACCAATAAAAATTACACATTCTGCAAAAATTAAAGGCCGCAGCTCTCACCTCATACTGACATGTCGTGGTTAGTATGTTTGAAATCGATACGAGGCCATACTTGTAAACCGGAGCAACAGGATCCAGAGCCTTCTTTCTGGCCCACAAAACTCCGGCCGAGACCGCCGACGTCGTGATGCGGTTGCAGAAGACGAGGAAAAGCGAGTACTTGAAAAACGCCTTGTCGTCGCCGTACGGCACTCTCATGATCTTCTCCTGCAAGAAATCGAAGCAAAAGATTCAACATTTCTGCCGCGAAAACGGAGATCGATTCGAAGAATTGGAGAAATGCCAGGGAATTAGGGACCTGGAGAACGCCGTAGGTGACGAGCGTGGTCATGATTCCGGCCACTGCAAAAACCCCTTTCCACAGCTTGCTCGGCTGCGGAGCGCCCGGCAACGGCGTCGTTTCGGCCATAGCACGATCGCGAATATGTAGCTGATGGAGCTCGCCTGGGAACTTGTGACAATACGGTGCCGTTAGGTCGCCGGAGAAATGGTGCGGGGCCCGAGGATTGGGGATCAAATAGAGCAGGAGAGAGCTAGGGGACACGTGGCGGAATTAACAGTGGCAGCGAGCAGCGTAACGGAATCGTCGGCGGCGACTTCTCTCTGTTATGTGTGTTGTGTGGAAGACTGTCGTTCCCCTGGCTTTTGAAAAGTGTGGACACGTCAGCAGCCTCCTCCCTCCATGAGGTCCCAAAAGACTGGATGCCTTTCCAACTTGACCTTTTTTAGGAAATCTGGAAATAATTTTTTTTTTTTAAGACCATCTCCAACCCTTGGGTTAAAAGCTAAATTTTTTAGCCCGGAAAATTTGGCTTTTAGCTCAGAAACATATTTTCTGCTCCAACCCTTTTGCCCTAAAATTTTAGCCCGGAATTATTAAAGAATGAACTTAGGCTAATTTTTTTCTTAAATCAATTTAAAAAAAATAAATAAATATGTAGATTATTGTAAATTAATTTTATGAACATTTTAATATAAAAAAATTTAAATTCCGATAAACATTTGGCATTTAGCCCGGGGGGAAAACTGGGGGTATTTGGCCCAAAAATAACATTTGGCATTTAGTCTAAAATTTTAACATGGGTTGGAGAGTGTTTGGGGGGGGTAATTTGGCTTTTAGCCCAGGTTTGGAGATGGTCTAAGGAACTTAACGCTTCATGTATTATTTATTTCAACAAAAAATTATATTTTTATACTAAAATATCAATATTAGTACTATTTATTTTATCTTTTATTTTATCCTTACAGTTCAAAATCAAAATTTTCAAATTATTTTCATTAATTTTTTTTTTAATAAGCAAGGAAAAATCTGAAAATGTTTATTCTTCTACAGTGCAAGATCGACCGTTTATTTGGTCAGAAAAATAATTTTACAGATGATTTATTAACGCGATGTAATAATATTTGAACGTTGTCTGTAAGGGGGTGAGCGACATGACAATTATCATCATTGTAAATGGTGCAGGATGGTCGGAAACTGTTCTATAAAATTGAAATTGTTGATTCTGTTACGTTTATTGTGAAATTAATTTTAGTTTCTTTTTATTGGGCATCTAGCCGTTGTTACCCAAGTTTTTTTTTTATAGCTTTTCATCTTGTTATTGTTTTCAGTGTAATTTATGAATTTCATATGTCACATCTTATTTATTTTGTTTTTTTTATTGACGATCATTTTGTTGATTAAAATTTGTGTTCGTGATATTTGAATTTAATATTCAGTATTACGGTCTAGTAGTATTCCTCATCACTTAGAAATGAAAAGTTTTAGATTTAAATCTCATGAATGGCGAATTTGATACCAAATTAGGTTGCCCATTAGGTGGCTTAACCGAACTCCTTCTCTCCCTAATATAAAAATATCAATGTACCAAAAAAAAAATTTCAACAAAATAAAGATAAAATGCCGATTAAATCAAATAGTCATATTCATTACACAAAATTTATTAATTAAGTTTTTTAGTAGTTTATCCTAACTTTCGTTGCTTATTCTCTTATTTTTATCCTTTGAAACCAAACCAAACTATAATTATTTTTCTAGATCAAGATTATAATTTGTTTTAAGAGAGTTTTAACCAAACACTTCCGGTACTGCTCATTTTAACAAAAAATCATATTTTTACTCTAAAAAATCAATCATGGTACTATTCACTTACAACATATTTTTGTCATTTTCGTTAAAACTCAAAGTTTTCAAGCAATTTTCATTAATTTTCATTTGTTTTAAAACAAATCCAACTGATCCCTTTTTTTTTTCTTTCTATTTTGTCGTCAACAAAGTAACCAAAAAGCCCTACACACGTACATAAATAATGTGGCTCACAATTCCGTACAAAATTACTCAAGTTTTGGATAACTCCTCTGGTTGCAAAAGTTTGCAAAACACATCCACAACTAGAGGTCGTCTTTTGTCCCTTCATGCAGTACACGTAAATACGCAACTTCTGCGTTGCCAAAACAACAACTACAGAAGACAAGAAGTTGAAGTCTCCTGTTCATGGACTCTGCTCTAGCTCCTCACCCCCTCTTCCCTCATATCCTCTCTAGCTCGAGGTACGCTTTCTCCGTCTCTTTTTTTTTTTTATTCAACAACTATCGTCCATAAGATCCTCATTCTCGTTGTTTTTGAGACATCAGTGATGTTTACTTATTTATATTGATTAATTACTATCGTTTATGAGATATGAATTTTGAGTTTTGTCCGACAAAGTGAAGACTGGATGTCACCAGACCAACACTCTCCCGTTGTTTTTGTTAACGTGGGTGATTATGTCGCAGCTTGCATCGATCTCTCGCAGTTCGTCAATGTCTGTTCCGGCAGAGGTGGTTAAATCCGACTTGTTGGGCTATTGGGGTGTCTGGAAGTAGTGTTGGAGCAGCTGGGAATAACCTCTTTGGTGATGCTAATTATTTGAAGGGGAGTGAAAATGGTTCTCTGTTGAGTGGGTTAGATGAGTCAGCTTCGGCAGGACCATTTGGGACGTTGGATGCGGAGATCACACCGGAGACCGTTGATTTCTTTGTTAGTGATGCTGATGGTGACCCTGATTGCCCATCTGACGGCTACTCTTCCATAGAGCAGGCACTTAACACATTACGCCAAGGAAAGGTTTGGACTAATTAATCTTGGCTTGTTTGGAACGGTTTTTGAACTCATTGAAAGCGCTTTTGTTGAAAATGTTTTTGAAACCGTAGTAAAAACACAAGTGAATCTTGGAAAAACACTTGAAGTGCTTCCTGGAAGATGCACATAACTATGCTTCTTCTAGAAAGTGCCTTAAATGCTTTTGGAATCCAAAAACATTTTCCCTAAAACCACTTTCGGTAATTTTAAAAACAATTCCAACGAGCGTTAATTTATATATACTAGTAGCTAATACTTGTGCTACTGATGCACCTCTTAACAATGGTGCATTTTATGTGAACTGCCACTGATTTGTTTCTTCCTTTTCTCTTTTACGTTTAGTTTGTGATTGTTGTAGATGATGAAAATGGGGAAGTTGAAGGAAACCTAGTCATGGCCGCGTCGTTTGCGAACCCGAAAAACGTAGCGTTCATGATCAAGCAGGGGTCTGGGATTGTCTCAGTAGGCATGATGGAGGAGGATCTTGAAAGATTGGAGCTTCCTCTCATGTCACCGGAGACTGAAGATGAAGACTCTTCTGCTCCCACATTCACAATCACAGTGGTAATAATGCTTTAGCATTGCCTCAGAATACTCCTTAGATCTATGTTACTAAGAGTTTTGGGCCGCGAAGGAGTTTCAAGTGACATTATTTTTGTGCGTGACAGTCACACTGTCATGTGGTGTTACTAATTTACGTGTTATAATATGAATGAATAATGAAGTTTATATGTCATAAACATGAAATATCGTATTAGTAAATAGATTTATATGTTATAACATAAGTGGGTCAATTTGTTTTGAAGGGCTTACTTTGTAAATGGCCTTCTTTTTTCTTGGTTTTAAAGGATGCAAAAGTTGGAACATCAACCGGAGTCTCAGCTGCAGACAGGGCAAAAACTGTGGCTGCTCTTTCATCCAATGAGTCTAAACCGGAGGACTTCAGAAGGCCTGGCCATGTGTTTCCCCTCAAGTACCGAAATGGCGGGGTTCTTAGGAGAGCGGGTCACACTGAGGCTTCGGTTGATCTCGTTGTTCTGGCCGGCTTAAGGCCGGTGTCTGTTCTTTCAGCAGTAGTTGACGCCGATGACGGCTCTATGGCCTCTTTGTCCAATTTGAGGACATTGTCTCTGGAGCATTCCATTCCAATTGTCTCCATTACTGATTTGATCAGGTAATAATAATCCAACTCAATCGTAAATTCTAGAATTTTGTAGCTCAAGTAGTTAAGAGCGTTTACTTTTGAGCGAGATTATGTGTTTGGATATCTCATCCCACCGCATCGCTTGTATCAATAGACAAAAAAGGGAGCCTCAAGAACAAATGTATTATGCCAACAGGTACAGGAGAAAGAGGGAAAAATTAGTTGAAAGAAAAGCCGTTTCGCGTCTACCTACGAAATGGGGTCTATTTCAAGCCTATTGCTATCGCTCGAAGCTAGACGGAACAGAACATGTTGCAGTTGTAAAGGTATGAACAAACCTAACCCTTCTTATTTTCTTGTGCAAAAACGAGAAGGTGTTCATTTGGCATGTTACAGCGAACTGCAACATTTTTTTGTACCGATCGACTTTTTCTGCTAAAGCTAATGAACATCAACAGGGAAGCATTGGAAATGGACAAGATGTGCTAGTAAGAGTGCATTCGGAGTGTTTGACAGGAGATATTTTCGGATCAGCGCGGTGCGACTGTGGAAACCAGTTGGATGTGGCAATGCAGCTAATCGAACAAGCCGGTCGAGGAGTCGTTGTGTACCTCAGAGGTCATGAAGGAAGAGGCATTGGTCTAGGCCACAAACTTCAAGCCTATAATCTGCAGGATCAAGGCCATGACACCGTCCAGGCCAACATAGAACTCGGACTAGCTGTTGATTCTCGTGAATATGGGATTGGTGCCCAGGTTAGTTTCACTTATATTGTCAGACTGTGAATTTCGACCGCACATAAAATAACATTTTTCGGAAAGTGCACAGACTCTGTGACTTACTATACGATTGTTTGAATAATTTTGAGCAGATATTGAGAGACATAGGGGTCCGAACGATGAGGCTAATGACGAACAACCCGGCAAAGTTCACCGGTCTAAAGGGATACGGGTTGGCCGTGGTCGGGAGGGTTCCGGTTTTGACACCAATCACAGAGGAAAACAAGACCTACTTGGAAACAAAAAGAACAAAGATGGGACATGTTTACGGTTCTGATATTCAAGGACTTTCAGATGGATTGTTCATCAACCCTAATGTAAATGACCAAGGTCTGCCGGAATCAGGAAATACCGAAGATTCAAATTATACGTAGCTGTCACACATGTACAGATATTTAAGGATTTATTTTTTGTACCACAGAGAGTAATTCATTGATTTTGTTATTGATTCCACAATCATTTTCTATTTATTTATGGGGATTATTATAACGGAACTAGCCCTTTGTTTAGTAGTATTTTTGTCCACAATGTTGGATTAGAATATATGTCAATATCAAATAATATTAATATCAACCATAATAATTAATGAACTTATTATTCAAGCGATAAACATACATCTTGGAATTTGATTACTACAGCTACTTACAAGGGTGTCATTGATAAGGTCCATAACAAATTGTCCTTGGGGAACAATAGACTGCTTACTTTTGAGTTGTATACTAAAGAATGTTTAGATCTGGTTTTGAAAGAGCTAAACGTGTTTCATGAAACCTCTCTGCCTTCGTTTGATAGAAAACTATAAAAGTATTTTTGCGTCACCAAAGTTTTTTTTAGAACCCTAAACCCTATCATATTTTATACATAGATTGATTAAGTTCATAAAAAAGATAAATAAGACAAAATGAATAAGTACTTACCTATAGGAAGCACCTAAATTTTAATAAAGTTGAACATTTTTCTTAACAAAAATACTTATAACAAAAGTGCTTTTTAGAGAAGCCGTAAACGGGCCCTAATTCTCATACAATTTGCTACCTCAAACCATACAATTGGATTTTGTTGGTAATATATTTACCCTTTCATCCAAAAAAAAAAAAAAAACATACAATTGGACTTCGGCCTAAGTTTTCAAGTCAGGTCCACATTCCCGCGAGAAAGCCCATATGCTCATGCGGGTGAATAAAATAACATACATGGACAGTTATGTAATTTCATGTACTCCTTATAATTCCTGCTTCCTCCTTCATCCTAAACCCTACTGGTTCAGCTTCCCGCCGGCAGATTGACAGGTCTCTCTCTCTCTCTCTCTCTCTCTCTCTCTATGCACATACGCACTTTTGAAAACTGCGAAAGTATTGAAATTAACGTCTGCTGTATTTCTATGTCCTTTTAGGGTTTACAGGTGGTGATTTGGGAATATAACCTGCCCTTCTTCATCGGCATCAATGGCTCCAGCTAAAGGTACTGCCCCTTCGTTCTCATTCTCAATTTCAATTTTCCTATGTCACTGCTTGGTTGCTGAGAAAATGGAGGAAAATCTAGTTATTGTATCAAAATTTCGATATATTTTATTTCTCTTGTCATTTCTTAGTATTAGTTAGTGAAAAATGAACTTAAATTAATCAAATTGTCGTTGGCGGAGGATCTTTTATGTTCTTGCTTTTCTAAAACCCTAATGTTGTATGCTATATTTTTTGAGAAACAAATGGATTAGGATCATTCTATGCCTGTCTAAAACCCTAATTTCTTATTTTTAACCTTTTATCATTGTGTATGGTCGGCTTGTTATATGAACAACTTTATTGTGCTATTTAGTTGTGTTAGGTTTAATGGTTGTATTGGACTCCATATGTTACTTCATCAACTGCACACGAATGTATCGGTGATACCTGTCACACTCGGATGCATGGGTCTCCCTTAGAATTCAAATGTTTAGTCAGTTGAATAGCACGTTTGCAGTCTAGTTTTGTTTAAGTTTCGTGTGCGGGTGTCGTCAGACTCTAGGGGTATCAAGGGAATTGGAAGACAAAAGTTATAAACTAATAGTCAAGTGGATTTGAACATCTTAGGGTGGGGGTTATAATTATGATTTGTCTGCTAGCATTATAGGTTGAGTGTAGCAGAATTTTGGAGTATTTGGAAGAAATGAATTCTATCTGTCTAGTTATAAGTCAATGCCTGTTAACGTTAGCTTGTACTTGCACATTTTCATCGCTCCTCCCTGTAGTAATTGACAAGATGTAATTAGCCCTGCAATGGTTTGGTTTTTGTTAAATCAGTAACCATAGGTGATGCAAATTCATTTCCACTCTTAATTGCCATACTCATTGACCTTTAGTATGTTCTTTCCCGTAAGTACCCTTTTGACTTTCCCCTCTCCAATGAGCTACGGGAAAATTTATATGGATAAAATTTTAAATAGCTTCTATCTGACGAGTGCATATCTTTTGCAGCTGATGTTTCAAAAAAGGCTGGCCCAAAGTCACAAGCCGTGAAGGCTGCAAGGGCTTTGAAATCTGGACCTATTGTTAAGAAAGTTAAGAAGATCAGAACCTCAGTTACATTTCACCGCCCTAGGACATTGAAAAAGGAGAGGAACCCTAAGTACCCTCGTGTTAGTGCTACTCCGAGGAACAAGCTTGATCATTATCAGATACTGAAGTATCCTCTGACCACTGAGTCTGCAATGAAGAAGATTGAAGACAACAACACTTTGGTCTTTATTGTTGACATACGTGCTGACAAAAAGAAAATCAAGGATGCCGTGAAGAAGATGTACGACATTCAGACCAAGAAAGTGAATACCTTGATCAGGTTAGTAAATTGCAATTTCAGTAAAGATTACTGGCTTGTGTTACCTACTTGTTTCTGTGCATCTTCGTTGGATGATTTGATAATCTGAATATCTTTTTTGATCCAGGCCCGATGGTACCAAAAAGGCTTATGTTAGGCTGACCCCTGACTACGATGCTTTGGATGTGGCAAACAAAATTGGTATCATCTAAGGTAGTAGTAAAGCTCCATTAAGAGGAAGAGAGTTCTGTGAGTTCGGACTCGGTTTTAGTTTTAAAGTTTTAACAACTTTTGATACCCGATTACCTGTCTCTATCTTTTGTGGTTTTAACTGCAGTTCTGACCTTATAGGCGTGAAAGTTTAATAGATTTTGGAACATTATTTGATTGAGCAGTCATTTTCATATGCAATGACATTTTACGTATTAAGTAATGGTTAATGCCGAAATGTGTTCTGATCCATCCGTTCTTTGTTAGTTGAAAGTCATGCAATTGTTGAGCTACCGTCATGTTTGTAGGGAGCTACCGTCAGATTGCGCAGTCTGTTGTTCTGAACGGGGCTCCGGTCTGCAGCCTCAGCTTCATCTTTCTTCTTGAACTGAGTCACGGGAAGAGACCAGGCAATCGAGAAGTCAAGTCCGTTGCGATGAAACTGCAGCGAGGGATCGTCTAGGTTGAATTCGCTCTGTACACGACTTTGGCTCGGGTTTCTCGAGAAGCCCGCGCTCTCAAGTCGTCTACAAAGCAGTCGGAGTATCTTGTAGTAACTGAAGAAGAGGAGGGTGAAGGTGCCAATAGTAGCAGCAGAAGCTATGATCCATGATTTCCAATTTGGATCTAGGGAGCCTGAAGACATGCTAATCTAACCAAAACTTCTGTGATTAGAGATTAATTACCAAAATGTTTTCCCAAAAGCGCTTTGTATTAAGCTGTGTTGCTGATTAAATAGGGGTGATTAGCAAACAAATCAGTTTAATTAAAGATTTCAACGATTAAATCAATGATAAAAAAGATGTGGTTACCAAAATTATATGAGCTGCTAAATGTGTTTGTGTTGTGGTAGATAATACCAAAGTTGGATTCTGATTTTGTTAAATGACAAACCTCGGAGTGTAGTTTCAAACAAGAGAACTACAGTTTGAACAGCACAAAAATTGAAGGTTTAAACACTTTTCACTCGCGGGTTGAGAGAGATAGAGAAAACACGAAGCTGTGATAGTTTAGTTTTCTACTCCATACTTCCAAATCAAGGGAAGATTTTCTTTTCACCATTAGTTGGTGATGAGCATTACAAGCAAAACTTTGTAGGCCATCTGAATCACCTGTTCTGTAGAGTAGCTCTCACAAAAGCATGAGTCTCTGTATTTGGCCCAACTTAAGCTCCCACTAATCTCATGCAATGTAAGAGCTTGACGTGATTATACCGCTAAAAACAAATGAAACACTGTCGCATCAGTTGGAATCCAAAATTTTAGAATTTGATTTGATGCATGTAGTGTTGGACCAATATGATCTTTGCTTATGATTTTTCCCTATGCAAATGAACTGGCAAACAGAAGCATCTTGACGTAAAAAAAAAACAAAGCAAAAAAGGGTAAAACTGAAGTTAAATGGCTACATTTAAAGTTGAACCCCCCAAAAAACTAAAGTATCCCATTTTTACACCCTCAACCTTCTCAAACTTCAATTTTCTACACAAAAATTTAAGAAGCAAAAGTTCACCAAAATCCTCATTGAAGCCTCTGCCGCTTGCCAATCGAAAATTGGTGGTCAATGCCGGAATTCGAAGCCAACATCCTTGCATTGTTCAGGCATGAAACAGAAGCACCACCGTTGTTGAAGTTCAACAAGGAAGCCGAACATGTCTGCGAAAACCCGCGAGACATCTCAGGATATGACGCGGAGTTGATTGGCTTATGGACAACATAACTAGCATTTCCCACTGGTTTCTGGTTGAAGCTTGCAGCAGCTTCACAGCCTTGGATTGAAACAGGTGGGATTTTGAAGGGCTGCAAAGGAGGGGGGTTTCGCCAACGAGGCATTGGCCCGGAAACAAGAAGTGTCTGGAGCAGTGGACCGGCTTGCATCACAGTCTGCAAGAGCTTGCCCTGTTGAGGCAAAATCTTTCCTTTAACAAAATTGTCAATCACCTGAGAAGCCGGGTCGGGTTTGATCATCCCTGAAGAGACTACACCAGCAGATACAATGCCATTATATTCTTGCACCAGAGGCTGCTGCTTCGCTAAAGGGATGCAGCCAGATTCAGCCATGTTCATGTTTGAAAACTCGGGTGAAGAAACCGCATCAAATAAGGAGTCCACAGAGGAAGAGGCGTGCGATTTTTGGGGATTGTAGGTTTCAGAGAGGCTGTTGGATTCAGTTATGCTTGAGTTTGCTTTGGTGGGAAGCAAAAGTGTACTTTCATGAGGAAACATGTTGAGGGGGAGTTCCATTGGACTTGAAGGCATGATCTTGTTTACGAGCTTTTGTAGCTGATCCACGGCATCTTGTCTTTCTTTGTATGCAACGTTTAGAAGATTGACTAGTTTCTTCACATTCTCCTCGCTTTTCCGGATTTCTTCCGTTGCGCGTGTTTTTACAGATTCTAGCTCAAGGGTTGTGTACAGAAGCTTCTGCTTCAACTCCTCAGCGCTCTGTCAATTCGAAACAGGATTTGAGAAATGAGTTTCAAAATCCATCA